AATAGATACTGCCTTATTAGTATTCTTTATATAAAGAATACTAATTAGGAGTGTTTTATCAGGTTTAAAGCCACTGCACGTGACATATGATGGTTGACATGATTTGCCAATAAGCTTATGAATTATTAATGAGTGTTTGAAGTACAATTAAATTATTATACCAAACTCTGTTAGAAAATGTTTATGCTCTAACTGAATCGGGTGTTGTCACCATTCGTGGACTGAAATAGGGCCGCTTCATTTTAATACACCGGAGATTTACGTGAAAGTACACATTCTGGAAACTCTGGCGTCTCTCTCCTGTAATCTTACTCTGGCCATTCCCTATTCATTTTCGTCACTAATACCAGATCGTACGGCCCCAAAAAGCAACTTTGCTTCCTTAAGAAATTGGTCTTTAGCAATTGACGATTCGCCGTTAAGCTTTTTAACAACAAAAGCGTTTTACCCTCTTTTCCGCGTTTTACCCTCTTTTCTGCGTTTTACCCTCTTTTCCGCGTTTTACCCTCTTTTCCGCGTTTTACCCTCTTTTCCGCGTTTTACCCCTACCCATTCTACATGTGCGTTCAGACAGTGAGATTGGTTTTCGTTAATTGTTTTTTTACTGTCATATACAGTAGATTGTTATCAACAACTATCGCAGTCACCTGCATATTGAGAGAATGTTATAATCTGTGGAAGGTCTGTGACACAAGCTATTGCGCCTCCAGTTATCAAAATTTTAAGTTCGATAAATACTTCTTCATTTTCAAAAACTCCTAATTTATGAGGAAAACACAAAGAAAAATTATAAGCATGTCGTATCTTTATATGTGATAGAGATTTCCCTTGACTTACATAAACTTTAACCTTGATTTTCTCGACTTACGACACAACGTATTTTTTGAACTGAATTACTTCGCCAATGTCAATGAACTTACTCGATCGATCATTTTTGAAGCAATTTAAAACATTCGCAGTGCGTGTTTTATCAGTCCTAAAGTAGTCGGCTTCGCCTCGTATCTTTATATGTGAGAAAACACTGCTGCTCATGTTTTAAATAGTGCATAAAGTTACCTTATATATACATAAACTTCTCATGATAAACGATTGGAAATTGTCTATACCGATAATATATATAAATGTTAGTGTCATAGAGTTGTAGTCGGGCGACAATGTAATTTCATTGTTTATTTTACTTTTTTGTTGTAGAACTGTAAACGTTTTTTGAATTTTATGGTTGTGTGAAAACAATAGCCACAATACATGCTCTTCATTTGTATGATGTATGTCATCATGTATATCCTGTATATGATGTATACAGTATATCATCATACAGCAGACACATTGATAACCTGACCCCAACCCCCACCCTAACCTCTCCTAACTGGAGGCATCTCACCCTGATGCAGGGGAATGGGAATCTGAAAACACCCGATCCAGGGTGGGGTTTACACCACCTCAAATAAATCAAACACTGCATGATGTGCATGTTTTCCACAAGAAACCTGAACATAGTGCGTTTACCAACTTTACCACAAAATCTATTTATTAATACTGTCAATGATATTTATCAAACTGAAAGAACTACTTAATCTTGAAATAATTACTTTTATTTAATACTGTAATCTATAAACGTGTTGAATATTAATTTAGGCCGTTTGCTGCGTCCCGATATCGTTCACTTTCATTTTCCATGTCTTGGAACTGAAATATTTAAACGGGACCTAACACTTTCGAACACGCTGAGTTCAAATCTGAAAAGTTCCCGCTCCGTAGACCTGTAGTTTTCTCACAAACTGCAATTTTATCTTCACTAATTTCACAACAAATTTTTTTCATTGTTCAACGACACGGATCGATGACGACACACGATTATGTCACTAAAAAGGGCCAATTTCTATTAACCAGTCTTCCTTTTAACAAATGACCGTTTTGCTCGAATCATTTTGAGGTATGTAATATTATGCATGTTGGACGTAAACAACATATTTTGCCTACAACTTTGAGAAGGTACAGATAACGTTTTCTAAAATCCTCAGTTCTAGAGATATTTCTATAAAATGACAAGGACGTTAATGCTAAGTCTGTTGGCTATGCCACTGGCCTGAAAAATAACTCTTTTAACGCGATCAAGGTATTTAAAGCAAGAGTAACGCGAAGCCAACATAACAGCAAAACGCGCTACAATGAAATATTGTCGATGGGTTGCTGGTAGAAAATGATCACTCCTAAATAATCTTAAACTAGGAGAATAAATGTTCACATCAAAGACAAAAATCTGTGTCAAAGTATAAAGTGTCAAAGTGGCGAAATGTGTGCATGAGCTGTTTATTTGCTGATTTCAACGTATATGGAAGCCCTCTTTCCAATAATATTCGCTAATCGCACAGAATAGCACCAACTCAACTGATATAATAGTTCAAATGCAATGATAAGTTACTTCTTGAATTACGTCTCAGAAACTGTGTTGAAAATTTAAATACTGACCCACTACATGACATTGCTGTTACTACATCGTTGTATAAAACATTTTTATCGCATGTAAGGATTATTTCTCAGCCCAGAGAAATAGCCCAAAGATTTAACCTTGTTAACGTCTTTCTAATTTTATAGAAATAAAGCCAGAACTGAGAGTTTATCATTCTATGTTTCGCGCACCAATATAGGTTAGGGTGTGTATATATTATGTATAAGGAGGTATCCAGTTGACTTGGCAGTACACTATAATATCCATTACATAACGGTTAGTTCCCATAAAAATTTTTCAGTTGCAAGACATGGGAAATGAAAGTCGTTTTCTAGGCACTTTTCGAGGTCACAGCAAACGCCCTAATTTGTGAATATTAAAATTGAGGTCGAAAAATTCTGAAAAACGTATTTTTTCTCCCCATATCTTTTATCCAAAACAGGCTTGGAAAAAAACCTTTTTAGACAATTTTATTTTCGGGAAAGCGCATAATAAAACAAAAGAAATCATGTGCGTGAAGGAGTTTGTATATCTGATACCGAATCATGCTAATTTACATAAACTTTAAGTTCAATCTTCGCACTAAATATTATTCAATTATTTTAAATTGTTGAAGAATACGAATATTCTCATTTGTAGCATTCGCGTCCGTGTTGTATCGAAAACACGACCGGCTCATGTTTTAAATGATATATAAACATTAACAGACCTAAACAGACACTAGTAAAGTCGTAATACAAGGTGCAGTTTGTTCAATTACAACGACAAATATTTCGAAGACAACATGTTCATATGTCGTCCCACCGAGGCGACATAATTAGGTGGGATAAAAATAACCAATCCCGCGAGCGCCTGCTTTGCAGGCTAGGATTAAAACGGTCGTATGCCGACGGAAATAAATTCATCCCACTTAAGTGACCTCACCAAACCGGGTTCATGTGACCAGGCCTTTACTTACAAGCCCTGATATTAGTCATTCTGACCTTGATGAATTAGTTAATCAAGTAAGTGTGCAAGATAGGCGATCAAGTCAAATTTGTGAAAGGAAAATTTTGTAAAATTGACCACTACTGTTATCTGTACCATTTGAACTTAACCTACTTTTACTAAAAGTCACGACAATGTCGTCGACTCTTACTGATGATTTTCCATTGTTACCTCTGTGAGATGTTGGGCCTTTTATTGTCGCAATTATTATGAACATCATATCCCCACACACCATCATTGTCCTTTTCTGAGGTGTAAGTCCCTGTTACATTTTCATCTTTTATCGTAAACTTGACTTCGTACTGGCTACCACTGGAGTCACCAAACAAGCGAACACCGTGAAAGAGAACAGCTTTATTGACAGTCAGAGTAAGAGCATCGGCACGGCCAATATTGTTCCAACAGCCGCATAATGCATTGGCAACGTCAAATCTGCTGAAACTGGCTATGTAAGGCCGCCTTTTCTTTTGCTCCTTCCATTTCAAGCCAGCCACATCTAATCCACTAAATTTCTGGAAAATAGAAATAACCTCTGCCTCTGTAAGTATGCTAGTAGAAGAAACATATTTCGCGAAATCTTCCTGTGACATTTCAAGGAAACGAATTTCGTATACACTATCCCCTAGGGCACGTCTTCTTGTTATTTTGTCTTCTTCAATATTTTTACCCTGTCTTGAACATTCGCTGTCCAGCCATTTTAACACTGCTTTGAACAATTCCACTTCTGTTACTGACAACGTTTCTCTCTTTAACAAAGCATTGCATTGAGGCTATATGATCCGACATTACAGAACGCTTCCGAGTTTATACAATCCTGACTTTTCTTCGATACAATATCCCAGCACTTCGCTTCCAACTTTTGTTCATCAAATTGTATTGCTTGCTCCAACACCAGGAAAACATTATCAGGCTTAATGCTTGCCTCTAGAACCTTGCAACATTTCTTTGTCAAAGACGACATGAGATACTTCTTAGCCAAATACATAACTCCAATCGCGTTCCCTGCGGTGATTTTACAATCATCAGTGTAGAGGTGGCGCAGAAATTCTTTGAAGCTTTCTTCGTCGGCATCTGGTAGACAAATGGGAGATTCTTTCTGAGCTAGATCGCCATAAAACATGGCATAAAACACAGCACGTATTTATGCGCATGAAATATGCGACTTGATTCCCCACAAGTGAAAGATACATCGCTCATCAATTCGTTATCAAACATATACGCGTTTCTTTGTAAGACTGTTTTCTTACTAGACTGCCAATCATCGTGATATTTTGAAGCCATGTTTTGGAATAATAATCTGATAGAGCTGGTTGAAAGTTTAAAATACACTGCAGTAAAACAGATGTTTACAGCAAGGCAACGTACATTTGTTTATATGTAAAATGCGGAAGTAATATAAACATCAAAGTTGATATGAAACTAAAGAGGCCCTTGATATAGCTAAGGTTATTTGAATAATTACTATGCTTTCAGAGAACCGAAATGCTTGTCGTCAATTGGAGAGTACAGTACTAGTTGGTCCACTTCAGAACTGTGCCATTTGTATCAAGCAATTAAAATGAAAATGCAATTTTCAATTCTATTTATTTTCCACCAAATCTATAATACATTGATGGAAGGAAAATAGTTAACATCATCTTCTCCAGGGGCGTAGGAAGCATCTAAAAGTTGGGGGGGGGGGGGAGGCAGGCTTTGAGGGGCACTTCTCGAATGAAAAGGGCACCTAAAGATTTTTCGGATTTGACTTCCATGCGCTACCGTTATCATTAGCCAATTACATGCGTACTTAGCGAGTGACAGGTATAGAGCTGTATAGCGACAGTGAATTCAAATATTTCTAATATCTATTTAGAGGGTATAGTTGCCTTTGTTTTGTTCAAGAATCAAGACTTCCTTAATTAAATATATAACTGATATCGGAATTTTTTTACGAACCGGCTAGTTCACTTTGACAATTTTTAAACTTTTTAATTTTTTTATTTAAACCTCCAAAGTTCCGTCATTAATTAATTAGCTTTATTGATCTGAAGCTGTGCCAGATAAACAAACGCTCAGCTTTGTTTTCCACGAAATTCAGTCGACGTAGTGTGTGTACTTTAAAATCCATTTATTAATATTATCAATTATATTGATCACCATGCAAATTTATATACAAATAATTATTCATTAAATTGAACGAATTACTAGTGTTGTTCCATAGACCATGATCATTACAGCTAGACCTAGAAGAAATCTAAATTAACTTTATAATATTGTTTTATTGTCTCGACCTATTGGATTATAACATAATTATTAATAATCAGTTTATAAGATGGGTTTTTATAGATGAAATTATTCTTAAAGGCAGGGTAGGATCATGACAAGTCAATTTTTCTCTATCTACACAGTCTACACAGTTTAGAAATGAAAATTTGCTGAAATTGCCCACAATCCTTCCGTGTATTATTTGTACTTAAACCATGAGCTGCGTTGTCAAAAGTCACGACAATGTCATTAACTTTCACTGATGATTTCCCATTACGACCAGTGCGAGACTGTGGTCCGTTTATTGTCGCAATTATTGTTAACTCTTCATCTGGCTGCAGAGAAACTGGTTTTTGCAACATGACATCATAACCCCATAAAATGGTGTTTTGTTCTGAAGTGTAGGTCCCTGTTACATTTTCATCTTTCACCGTCAACTTGACTTTGTATTGACTACCACTGGAGTCACCAAACAAGCGAACACCGTGAAAGAGAACAGCTTTATTGACAGTCAGACTAAGAGCATCGGATTTAATCCCATTATAACTTAATATGCTGCCTTGTAATGCATCGAAAAGGCCAAATCTACTGAAACCAAGTATATCAGACCGTTTTCTTTCTTTCCCCCTCCATTTAAAGTCAGCCGCGTCTAATCCGTTAAATTTCTGAAAGACCGCAATAATCTCTGTCTCTGTAAGTATTCCTGAAGGGGAGACATGCTTTGCAAAGTCTTGCTCCGACATTTCAAGGAAACAAATTTCATATACACTATCTCCTAGGACGCGTCTTCTTGCCGTTTTGTCTTCTTCAATATTTAGACCCTGTCTTGAACATTCGCCGTCTACCCATTTTAACACTGCTTTGAACAGTGCCACCATTGTAACGGACAACGTCTCTTTCTTTAACAAAACATTCAGGGTGTGGGATCCGACATTACAGAATGCTTCCGAGTTTATGCATTCCTGAGTTTTCTTCGATACAGTATCCCAGCACTTCGCTTCCAACTTTTGTTCATCAAATCTTATTGCTTGCTCCAACACCAGGAAAACATTATCAGCCTTAATGCTTGCCTCTAGAACGTTGCAACATTTCTTTGTCAAAGACGACATAAGATACTTCTTAGCCAAATACATAACTCCAATCGCGTTCCCTGCGGTGATTTTACAATCGTCAGTGTAGAGATAGCACAGAAATTCTTTGAAGCTTTCTTCGTCGGCGTCTGGTAGGCAAATGGGAGATTCTTTCTGAGCAAGATCGCCATAAAACATGGCATAAAACACAGCACTGCTCGTGGCAAGCACATATTTATGCGCATGAAATATGTGACTTGATTCCCCACAAGTGAAAGATACATCGCTCATCAATTCGTTATCAAACATATACGCGTTTCTTTGTAAGACTGTTTTCTTACTGGACTGCCAATCATCGTGATATTTTGAAGCCATGTTTTGGAATGGTTGAGCTGATTGAAGGTTTAAAATACACCCAGTAAAACAGACGTTTTATACAACAAGGCGACGTGTCTTTGCATGTAAAATGCGGAAGTGATATAAACATCAAAGTTAAAATGAAACTAAAGAGGTCAATAAACCTCTATATGAGGGTCAACTATTCTACATATACTTATGTGGCCATTGCTTATGTGTTCAGACAGTGAGATTGGTTTTCATCAATTGGTTGGTTTCAGTACGGTATATAGATTGTGATCAACTACTATCGCAGACACCTGCATGGCTGCATATTGAGAGAAAATGTTAATATTCTTTTCATTTCATGTAGTAATTTAAAGGGGAAACTGTTCTAATTTTCCCGGAATAGTTGAACACATAGTGATATGCAACATGATGTGATACATGCACATATTGCGCCATATCCTGTGGAAGGTCTTTGACACAGGCTATAATTGCGACCCAGTTATCAAATTTTTAAGTTCGATAAATATTTTATAAATAACTATTTAATCTTGAACTAATCGCTTTATTTAATACTGTCATATGGCGATATAACTCTGTCAGTAGTTTCTAAACTATCTTGCTGCTGATCCTTATCACCACAGGGAAAAGTTTACATGCATTAACTTTTTTTATTCTTTCATGATGAATACTGAACTCATTTTACTAAAATTCTTATTAATAATCAGGTTTTATACCGTTATGCTTAACCTAAACTTAATATATCATAATTATTATTATTAAATTCGTCACAAATGTTTAAACGGACACTCATATACATGACATGTTACAAGACTACGTACGTGACTGAAATGAGGAACTTATGAATCCCAGTTATTAAATAACCCACCCCTAATAATTGTACCCTATGTTATGACAAATGATGCCCTTTATTATTAGTCCCATATACAGTATATTGACAACGGATGATTGGTGCATGTGGACATACTTGAACGAGGAACAGATATTTCAGCAAACGGACGAATCATTCAATATGTCAATATGACGGATGATTCGTCTGTCATGTATATTAATACGGCATTAGCATTATCAGGAAAACCAATGTTTCATTTTCCATAGTTTGTAGATTTCTACAGCAATATTGTTCGTCTCAGGACACTGGCTTGTATAGAACGAGCTATTGTTGCTAGTTCCTCTACATGGTTCGTCTTGTTTTCACACTAGAATAAGATAATCTGTTGATCGATAGAAAGTCATTTCATCCTTGATGATTTAATCACATAAGTATGGATCAGGTGAACTTCGCGGCAAACTGTGACCAGGCCTTTACTTACAAGCCTGATATTTGTCATTTCGACCTTGATGAATTCATTATCAAGTATAAGTGTGCAAGTTAGGCGATCAAGTCAAATTGCCTCTCTAAAGTTGAGAAAGGAAAATTTTGTAAAATTGACCACCATTTTTATTTGTACCGTTTGAACTTGAACTATTAGAACTGAAAGTCACGACGATGTCGTTGAGTTTTACTGATGATTTTCCATTTTTACCGCGATGAGATTGTGGTCCTTTTATTCTCGCAAATATCATGAACTGTTCATCTGGCTGTAGAGAAACTGGTTTGGGCAACATGACATCATAACCCCATACACCATCGTTGTCTTTTTCTGAAGTGTACGTCCGTGTTACTTGTTCATCTTTCACCGTAAACTTAACTTTGTATTGACTACCACTGGAGTCACCAAACAAGCGAACACCTTGAAAGAGAACAGTTTTATTGACAGTCAAAGTAAGAGCATCGACACGGCCATTATTGTTCCACGTCCATTTGCCGTCTAATACATCGGCAAAGTCAAATCTACTGAAACTGAGAACTATACATGGTTGCCTTTTCTTTTGCTCGTTCCATTTCAAGCCAGCCACATCTAACCCGTTCAATTTCTGGGAAATGGAAATAACCTCTTTCTCTGTAAGTATTTCGGTAGAAGAAACGTATTTCATGAAATCTTCCTGTGACATTTCCAGGAAACGAATTTCGTATACACTGTTTCCTAGGACACGTCTTCTCGCCATTTTGTCTTCTTCAATATTTATACCCTGTCTTGAACATTCGCTGTCTACCCATTTTAACACTGCTTTGAACAGTACCAGTTCTGTTACTGTCAACGTCTCGCTCTTTAACAAAGCCTTGAGGATATGAGGTCCGACATTACAGAATGCTTCCGAGTTTATGCATTCCCGAGTTTTCTTCGATATAATATCCCAGCACTTCGCTTCCAACTTTTGTTCATCATATTGTACTGCTTGCTCCAACACCATGAAAACATTATCAGGCTTAATGCTTTCCTTTACAACCTTGCAACATTTTTCGGTCAAAGACGTCATAAGATACTTCTCAGCCAAATACATAACCCCAATCGTGTTCCCTGCGGTGATTTTACAATCTTCAGTGTAGAGGTAGCGCAGAAATTCTTTGAAGCTTTCTTCGTCTGCATCTGGAAGGCAAATGGGAGATTCTTTCTGAGCTAGATCGCCATAAAACATGGCATAAAACACAGCACTGCTCGTGGCAAGCACATATTTATGCGCATGAAATATGCGACTTGATTCCCCACAAGTGAAAGATACATCGCTCATCAATTCGTTATCAAACATATACGCATTTCTTTGTAAGACTGTTTTCTTACTGGACTGCCAATCATCGTGATATTTTGAAGCCATGTTTTGGAATAGTAGAGCTGATTGAAGGTTTAAAATACAGAGCTGTAAAACTGACGAAGTAAAATGCAAAGCTGTGGAACAGACGTTTTGTACAACAAGGCGACGTGTTTTTGCATGTAAAATGCGGAAGTGATATAAACATCAAAGTTAAAATGAAACTAAAGAGGCCACTGATCCTCGTTAAGGTCATTTGGATAATTGCTGATGCGTTTAGCGAGTGAAACGCTTATCGCCAATTGGAGAGTAAAGTACTAGTAAGCAATTGGTCCACTTGAGGACAGTTACATTTGTACCAAGCAATTAAAGTAAAACTACAATCCAGGCCGTAGCGAGGAGCGGAAGAGGCTAAAGCTAAGACTAACTCTTGACGAAGACTCTTGACGCTACTAGCTCTTGACGAAGGGCCTTCGCTCAAAACGTCGAGTTGCTGCTTGTTTTTTTCCAGGTAGTAATATAACCACTCAGCGCCATAAAGGGGTAGTTCCTCGGGTAGAAGATTTTGCATCACAGATTACGTCATCAGTTAGTTATAGTGATTAGTGTTAGGGTTAGGGTAAGGGTTAGATTAAGGATTAGGCTTAGAGATAGGGATTGGGTTGTATCTGACGCGACAAACAACACAACTAGCCGATCACGTGATCAGTTCTCCTCTAGCCGAGGAACTAGCCCAATAAAGCCAGTTTTTCACGTAACGTAACGTACCATACCGTAGCATTTTCTTTTGTGTCGTAGTGATTAGTTCCACACTGCCGCTCAGGAAACAATGAAATACGCTACGTTTCGGTACGATTGAAAGTGGAAAGCAGGCATGAGGTTGGGGAGGTGTAGTATCGCATTTGCCGACAACATTTGAATCGCTAATTAATATTTCTTTTTTTTGAGGGGGGGGGATGTAAAAAATTTTCGTTCATTTATCAACTTTTGCGCTATTACTTTTAATCAGAGCCACTCAAATATTTTCACTGACTACGAAAACAATTTGCTGATAAATTCGTTATTTTGCCAACGGGCCTGGTCCGAATTTTCCGGATAGACTTGTAACTTTTCCGAATAGTGCAATTTTCTAAAAGTTGGGGGTGGGGGTGGGAGTTATCGCACTCCCCTCGCTACGGCCCTGACTACCATCAAACAAGGATAGCATGGGAGTTGGTAGTCACGCGACCTTGGTTAGATGTTCTTAACGCTTTCCCAGCACTATCATATATTTTATTGGAGTTAAAAAACATAGTTGGAACACTTATCGAACCTTTTATTTTGTTAAGCTTGAAATGTCTCCTGTCATGACTGCCATGACCACTGGCCATGACTCTCATTCTTATTTGTGTGTGAGTGTGTGTGTGTGTCTGTGGGGGGTGTTCGGGACATAGCTCTGACCAGGGTTCTGACTGTCATTTTGCACCATTTAAACTAATATTACCACTGAACTGGAATGACTGGTGGTGGCAGTTTGTAAAATAGGCTGTGAAAATGTACGCCACTGATTTGTAACATTTGCGTCCGTGTTGTATCGAAAGCACGACCGCTCATGTTATAAATAATACATCAACATTAATAGACTTAAACAGACACCATTAAAGTCGTAATACAAGGTGCAGTTTGTTTTAATTGCAACAAAAATATTTCCAAGACACCATGTTTACATAATTTCGTCCCGGGAAAAATAACCAAGCCCGCGAGCGCCTGCTTTGCAGGCTAGGATTAAAATAGCTCAGGCGAGCTTCACCTGATCAAGTCAAATTGTATCTCTAAAGTTGTGAAAGGAAAATTTTGTAAAATTGACCACTACTGTTATCTGTACCATTTGAACTTAAACTACTATAACTAAAAGTCACGACAATGTCATCGACTCTTACTGATGATTTTCCATTGCCACCTGTGTGAGATGTTGGGCCTCTTATTGTCGCAATTATTGTGATCATTTCATCTGGATGTAGAGAAACTGGTTTGGCCAACATGACGTCATATCCCCACACACCATCATTGTCCTTTTCTGAGGTGTAGGTCCCTTTTACATTTTCATCTTTTACCGTAAATTTGACTTCGTATTGACTACCACTGGAGTCACCAAACAAGCGAACACCGTGAAAGAGAATAGCTTTATTGACAGTCAGAGTAAGAGCGTCGGATTTAATTCCGCTGTAACTCCAGCAGCCGCATAATGCATTGGCAACGTCAAATCTACTGAAACCGACTATATAAGGCCGCCGTTTCGTTTTCTCTTTCCATTTCAAGCCAGTCACATCTAACCCGTTCAATTTCTGGAAAATAGAAATAACTTCTGCCTCTGTAAGTATTCTAGTAGAAGAAACATATTTCGCGAAATCTTCCTGTGACATGTCAAGGAAACGAATTTCGTATACACTATCCCCTAGAACGCGTCTTCTTGCCGTTTTGTCTTCTTCAATATTCAGACCCTGTCTTGAACATTCGCCGTCAATCCATTTTAACACTGCTTTGAACAGTTCCACCGTTGTCACGGACAACGTCTCTTTCTTTAACAAAACATTGAGAGTATGTGATCCGACATTACAGAATGCTTCCGAGTTTATACATTCCTGAGTTTTCTTCGATACAATATCCCAGCACTTCGCTTCCAGCTTTTGTTCATCAAATCGTATTGCTTGCTCCAACACGAGGAAAACATTATCAGGCTCAATGCTTGCCTCTAGAACCTTGCAACATTTCTCTGTCAAAGACAACATGAGATACTTCTTAGCCAAATACATAACTCCAATCGCGTTCCCTGCGGTGATTTTACAATCGTCAGTGTAGAGATAGCACAGAAATTCTTTGAAGCTTTCTTCGTCGGCGTCCGGTAGACAAATTGGAGATTCTTTCTGAGCTAGATCGCCATAAAACATGGCAAAAAACACAGCACTGCTCGTGGCAAGCACATATTTGTGCGTATGAAATATGCGACTTGATTCCCCACAAGTGAAAGATACATCGCTCATCAATTCGTTATCAAACATATACGCGTTTCTTTGTAAGACTGTTTTCTTACTAGACTGCCAATCATCGTGATATTTTGAAGCCATGTTTTGGAATGGTAAAGTCGTTAAAGCAGAGCTGTAGAACAGACGTTTTATATATGTAAAATGCGGACGTGGTATAAACCATGTATGAACATAAAAGTTAAAATGAAACTAATGAGGTCAGTAAACGTCGATGAGGGTCAAGTATTCTGCATAAAGTTAATTATTTTTATTGGTTTCATTTGGTCATTACTTATGCATTCAGAGTTCAGACAATGAGATTGGTTTTCGTCAATTGACCATTTGCGTAATAGACTAAATTAAATTTTGAACTCAACAAGTCTAGACAAAAATTTCATCACAGCTTGAAAGAGCATCACAAAATTAGTAATATTCGAAAGTTTCGTTGAGAAATGTTGTAAAATGCGGATAATATAGCCTTGCGAAGTTTGCAATTTTCAGTTATTTTAGATTACAAACTAGAAATAAAATGGAAATTGACAGCCTCAAAGCGTATCGGGCTGTCAATTTCCCGTTTGTAATCTAAAATGCTGAAAATTGCAAATTTCGCAAGGCTATATTATCCGCATTTTACAACATTTCGCAACGAAACTTTGGAATATTACTCATTGTGTGATGCTCTTTCAAGCTGTGATGAATTTTTTGTCTAGATCAAAATTTAGTCTATTACGCAAATGGTCAATTGGGTGGTTTTATTGTCGTACAGTAGATTGTGAATTTGTGATCAACAGCTATCGCAGTCACCTGCATATTTTTAAATTCTTTTTTATTTAATTGTTTTCCCATGGCAATGTATATAAAAGAAAGCTACTTAAAATATGTTACAATAATTAAAGATTTTGGGCTAGAGACCTACTATAAATCTTCATAGACTAGGATATTTAAATCTTTGAAAATTGGCTCACTGACACTTTGCTATAAATAAGACTGGAAAGTCATTAGACGCACAATTTTTTTTTGTATATAAGTATATTCATTATTTTTTAATTTAAAGGGGAAGTCAAGTCCGTAATGTAAACAAACGGTTTGTTTACATTTTGAACTGCTGCATTTTTTAAAATATGATGTACTGTCTGAATATCTAACACCATTTTGGTTCGCTATGCTTCTAAATGAATATGAAATAAATTTTATGTTCAGAAAAATTCGAAACATTCGAAATTTGGGCAATTTTCACATTAGAGGTCCTCTCATTGTTATGCGCAGAACAGATGCGCAGAACGGACTTGACTTCCCCTTTAACTTTCATAATAGCATAGTTGCCCGGGTTTCTTTTGTTTCAACAGGGACGTTTAATCACGTATCGCCCGCTGTAGCGGGCGATTAGTTCTAATCGCCCGCTAGAGCGGGCGATTAGAACTAATCGCCCGTTACCAAGGGTCACACCTTTGTCTCCCTGACGACTACGCATTAGGCAAGTGCCTCACGCACATAATCGTGCAAGGAACAGCAACAGTTAGCTCAGAGCCGTCAATAGTCTATCATCCGATCCCTGAGTTGCCGCATCATTTAAATTACGCACGTGCAGTCTCCAAATTTATACTAATATATTTAGCGTGTTTGTTGTGGTACGTTAAATGATAGATTGCGCATGCGTAACCGATTAAAGCGTAAAAAGTGCGCATGTGCAACAAGCTTTTACATCCCACAAGCAATGAAGCAAATGTTTTAGCTTAAATACGCTGATTCCAAGTAGGGCATGTTTGTCCATTTTTAAATGGGAGCGAAACTATGCTATTACAAACTAATAGCATGGCTTTTCGGGAGATTAGTGATTAAATGACCCCTTACCCTCGGCAGGTTTGCGGAATTCCCTCGGGCTTCGCCCTCGGGAATTCCGCAAACCTGCCTCGGGTTACGGGGCCATTTAATCACTAATCTCCCTCAAGCCATGCTATTACTTATGATAAGTATTTACCCCATGTTAAGTTGCCCAGTCGCTTTGCCCGCGCGGGCGGAGCGATCTTTGAAAATCTGTTCACGCAGCGTGACGGGCGTCAAAAACAATGAACCACACGGGCAAAGCGAACGTTAATGAAAACGGCCTTGAATTAAATAGACTAATGCATAATATATCAGTTTTAACGCATGCACTTCGGATTTTAGCTATTATACCAGCAGCTCTAATTAGTTTTCATTATATGTAGTAATCTCAAACGGGAAACTCGTCCAACACTCCCGGAATAGTGAGACGCAAATCTCTATGAGTGCGCATAATTAATGTTAGTTGTTGGGTAATGTAGATGAAAATCAGTTTCGAGTGGAATTCGAAACCTATAGCAGGAATAGAACCTGATAGCAGGAATCGAACCTGCTGCCCTACGATTACGGTGCAGCGCTCAAACCAAGTGAGCTACAGAGGCCAGTTGTCGATTTTAGGTTAACCTAGGGGTTAAGCTAATCGGCTTTCGAACAACCGGCCCATGGTTCCATAGCCAGTGCGCTTATGAGCGGCATTCACCCCCCTGCACATCCGCCATTTTGAATATTTTCAGGGGTGGAATGTCTCTCACAAGCGTACTGGCTAGGAACAAGGCGACAAACAATAGGCAATTCCCATTATAGACTAATTTTAAAATTAGGTAAGGAAACTCAAATAAATCACCACAGCTAGAAAGAGCATACTAAAATTAGTAAAATTACAAAGTTTGGTTGCGAAATGTTGTAAAATGAGGAAAATATAGCCTTGCAAAGTTCGCAAATTTTGTATACTTTTGAATTGCTTGCGGAAATTCCTACCACATTCCTACCACATTTAGGCCGAAAATGTCACACGCAATACAAAAGTATACAAAATTTGCAAACTTTGCAAGGCTATATTTTCCACATTTTACAACATTTCGCAACCAAATTTTGTAATTTTACTAATTTTAGTATGCTCTTTCTAGCTGTGGTGATTTATTTGCATCTCCTTGCCTAGTTTTAAAATTAGTCTATAATGGGAATTGTCTATTACGCTAAAATCATAGGCAAAACTAAGAAGTCGGCCTTCTGTATGTCTCTATTCTGTAGCAGATGGTTTCTGTTGTCAGGCGTCTGCATCTGAGTGGAGGCTACAGATTCAGCGAAACAGGAAACCCCTTTGATCCAGGTTAGGGTTTACTGCACCGCCTCAAATAAATCAAACACTGTGCATGTTTTCCACAAGAAACCAATCAACGTAGTGCGTTTACCATTAAATCTATTTATTAATACTGTCAGTTATATTGATCAAACTGATCCATTCTATTTCCGTGTGAACATGTAGAACTGGACGAATTTGAGTACGGTTCCGATTGATTCCACGTCTTACAAATGATGGACTCATTCCATGTTTTACAAATTATGGACTCGTTCCATGTTTTACAAATCATGGGCTCATTCCATGTTTTACAATTTATAGACTCTTTTCATGTTTTACAAATCAGACTCTTTTCATCAGTTTTACAAATTATAGACTTATTCCCATAGATATCTTATATACACTAGATAGTGCATCTAATTATTCTGCAATTCAAAAATTGAAGCCGTGATTGCAGTCTCAGGTCGTTCCCATGAAATGAGAAGATTCGTATATTTTCTATTTTTTAAACACGGAACTTAAACATGAAGTTAACCCTATTCCAAATACGTTTTTAAACTATTTAAATGATGAAAGTTATTGTTGTTTTTAAGCATTTATTAGCAAGTGGGAACGACCAACATGGCCGCCATCTATTCAAATGGGGGTAACCGCTGGAATATTCTTGGCTTCAATTTTACTAAAAGAGATGCGCTATCTAGTGTATATAAGATATCTATGCTTATTCCATGTTTTATAAATGATGAACTCATTCCATGTTTTACAAATCATAGACTTATTCCATGTTTTACAAATAATGGACTCATTCCATGTTTTATAAATAATGGACTCATTCCATGTTTTACAAATCATGGACTCGGTCCGTGTTTCGCAAATCCCTGACCGAGTCAGTCCATATTTAACAAATCACTGATTGAGTGAGTGAGTCCATATTGTACAAATCGCTGACTGAGTCCATGTTTCCGAGTCCAGTCCATGCCCTACAGTACACCTAACGTATCGTCATGAACGATCCGTCTCTAGGATAAATCGGGCCGTTACCTCATACTAGCCATTGAGATAAAGATCATTACTAGCCATTGAGATAAAGTTCATCTTTGAGGCAGGCTAAGATATCAAGTCAAATTTTCTCTATCTATAGTTTAGAAAGGAAAATTTTGTAAAACTGACCAATAAGTTTGTCCGTCGAATTTGTACTAAAAGTAGATGCGTTGTTAAATGTCACAACAATGCCATCGTCTGTCACTGATGATTTTCCCTTGCCACCACCGTAACATTCTGGTCCGTCAATTGTCGAGACTATTGTGAACACTTCATCTGGCTGTAGAGTTAGTGGTTGAGGTAAAATAACATCGTAACCCCACACACCATCATCGTCTTGTCTTGAAGTGTAGGTCCCTGTTACATTTTCATCTTTCACCGTAAACTTGACTTCGTACTGGCTACCACTGGAGTCACCAAACAAGCGAACACCGTGAAAGAGAATAGCTTTATTAACAGTCAGAGTAAGAGCATCGGACTTACTTCCGTTGTAACTCCATTTCCAGTCGAATATATTGGCAACGTCAAATCTGCTGAAACCGACTATGTAAGGCCGCCTTGCCTTTTGCTCCTTCCATTTCAAGCCAGCCACATCTAATCCACCAAATTTCTGGAAAATAGAAATAAGCTCTGTCTCTGTTAGTAATCCGTGAATACAAGAAACGTATTTCGTGAAATCTTCCAGCGACATTTCAAGGAAACGAATTTCGTATACACTATCCCCTAGCACGCGTCTTCTTGCCGTTTTGTCTTCATCAATATTTATACCCTGCCTTGAACATTCGCCGTCTACCCATTTTAACACTGCTTTGAACAATTCCACTTCTGTTACTGTCAACGTCTCGCTCTTTAACAAAACATTGAGGGTATGAGATCCGACATTATAGAATGCTTCAGAGTTTATACAATCCTCAGTTTTCTTCGATACAATATCCCAGCACTTCGCTTCCAACTTTTGTTCATCAAATCGTATTGCTTGCTCCAACACCATGAAAACATTATCAGGCTTAATGCTTGCCTCTAGAACCTTGCAACATTTCTCTGTCAAAGACGTCATGAGATACTTCTTAGCCAAATACAAAATTCCAATCGCGTTCTCTGCGGTGATTTTACAATCATCAGTGTAGAGGTAGCACAGAAATTCTTTGAAGCTTTCCTCGTCGGCATCTGGTAGGCAAATGGGAGATTCTTTCTGAGCTAGATCGCCATAAAACATGGCAAAAAACACGGAACTGCTCGTGGCGAGCACATATTTATGCGTATGAAATATGCGACTTGATTCCCCACAAGTAAAAGATACATCGCTCATCAATTCGTTATCAAACATATACGCGTTTCTTTGTAAGACTGTTTGCTTACTGGACTGCCAATCATCGTGATATTTTGAAGCCATGTTTTGAAAGGAGAGCTGTAAAACCGACGTTTATAACAAAACGAGGTGCTTTTGTATGGTGTCCCATGTCCGCCAAAAATCAACTTTTGCATTTCACTATATGATATTTTGAGGATCATATTCATTTCATTAAAATAACAACATTGTTTTTGAAGATCACCGATTTATTGGTTGAAAACACAACTTATTTTTTGAAGACCGACTTTTGAAGACCAACTTTTGAAGACCAACTTTTGAAGACCAACTTTTGATACCCAACCGCAATCCAATGTCTTTGTTGTTCGCGGGCTCATTTATTATGTTTTCAAAATGGAGGAAGAAGACAAACAATACTTGCTACAGGCGATTTTTGATGTGATAAATTCCATCGACCGTTTTTCACAGTCTCGAGACGCTAACATAAGAGCTTATGCTGAAACTTGATTTTTTACAACGGTTGCTAGTAAATATGAATCTTGATTATTCGATATGTGCAAACGTTGGAAAGGCATATAACATTCTTTTCAATATGGAACAAATGGAATACCAATGCAGACAATAGGATATCCGAAGGGGGTAGGGGAGTTAACTTCTAATTTCCTCCGTGAGGGTGGTATGGATGTTTTCTGGAATGACCCATTGGTAAACAGAGAAAAACAGGATAATGTATTGTCCTAGAACATATATATCCTAATATATTACACACAGTCAGGTTTTAGCAGCGCCGTAGCAAGCTCGATAATTGGGGAGGGGGGGGGCTGATATTCATATATTTGTGTTCACAGACCATAAAAACAATTGATTTCTAAAGAAATAATAACACAGAACATGAATATATGAATATCAGCCCCCTCCCCCAATTATCGAGCTTGCTACGGCACTGTTTAGACTGTTTATGAGTCCAAATGGTACACAGGACATTAAAAACCTGCACAAGCTTTCCCCCTGCCCCCCCCTAAAAGTTGATGTCTGCTGCCACTGCTCGAAATATGTTCTCCTTTTGGAGGATGTGAAGGAGTGGATATTAAAGTTATAAATGTTTATGTAATCTACTCCTTCACATCTTACAAAAGGAGAAAATCGCAACTAAAATTCTAAAATTGCATGTAATGTTAGAAAATGGAGGGGTATTCTGCAATCTAACCTGATCACAAGTAAAATATTATACGAGCCGCCAACACCAAGTCATAAAGTACTATTTAAAGCACGCGTAGGAGTGTTTTATCACATATAAAACACGACGCGTAGCGGAGTGATTTATATGTGATAAAACACGACTACAAGTGCTTTAAATGGCTTCAAAAACGATTCATCTTATACGAGTTCATTGGCGAAGTAATTTTTAAAATAAACTTTGTCTAAACCGAGAAAATCAAAGCTAAAGTTTATGTAAATTAACATGATTTTTTATCACATATAAAACCACGACACGCTTATGATTTTTCTTTGTGTTTTGCTCCTGAATTATTAATGAGTTTTTTTAAATATATAAATATATATATATATATATATATATATATATATATATATATATATATATATATATATATATATATATATATATATATATATATATATATATATATATATATATATATATCAGTGGCGGCGCCAGGGTGGGGCAAGGGGGGGCAAATGCTCCCCAATTATTCCTCCCCCCATTTTGCCCCCCTCCAAAAAAATTATTAGTCACTAAGAGCGACTAAAGGCTGCACAAGCGTTCTGTCGTTATCGAAAAATGTATGGCTTATAAGTTGTCATTACTCATTAGTGAATGCGCGTATACATGAAACTGTTTTTTACAGTTTCAATATTAGTTTGTAAATCTCTGAATGGTAAAACTTGCCAATACTCCAATAATACGTTTCAAAAAAAGACAAAAAGCTTTAGTTTTGCAGAGTTAAATTCTCAAACGTGTAAGGCAATAATAAGATGAAAGTATCACGAAATTATTTGAATAAACCACATCGCATATATGGGGGCGAATGTCCTAAAGAGGGGCGATATTCCTAGGGTATTCGCCCCACCCCCTGGGAGGCGATATTCCTAGGATATTCGCCCCCGGGGGCAATATTCCTAGGAATATCGCCACGTTTTGAGGGGGGGGGGGCGAATTTCCTGGGGGGCGACCTTTTTAAAAATTCTATCTTGCCCCCCCAAAATTTGAGTTTGCCCCTCAAATGCCCCCCCCCCAAATTTGGAAGCCTGGCGCCGCCACTGAAAATAAGACAATGAATATATAAAAAGTTTAGTTACTCAGACAGAGATGATTTTAGCGGAAAATCACAATATGAGCCCGCGAACAACAAAGACATTGGATTGCGGTTGGGTATCAAAAGTTGGTCTTCAAAAGTTGGTCTTCAAAAGTTGGTCTTCAAAAGTTGGTCTTCAAAAGTTGGTCTTCAAAAGTTGGTCTTCAAAAAATAAGTTGTGTTTTCAACCGATAAACCGGTGATCTTCAAAAACAATGTTGTTATTTTAATGAAATGAGTATGATCCTCAAAATATCATATAGTGAAATGCAAAAGTTGATTTTTGGCGGACATGGGACACCATACTTTTGCATGTAAAAAGCGGAACTGTATAATTATAAATTAAAATGAAACTATACAGAGGTCATTAAAATTCGATAAGGGTCAACAATTCTTCGTAGAGATATTGGTTTCATTGGAATTCGTCTGCTGAAACGAGTTTCGAGTGCTAATATGAATTCGGGTATTTATTCTGTAATATAACCTGTACGCAGTCGCGAAGTTAGCCATGGCAACTGATCTTGTTATGCTATTAATAAACGTAAGCCTGGTGTAAGTTTGGTTGTCGTTACTTGTCGCTGGCTTAGAGACCTTTAGCTTGATGTTTACGGCAAACGTAACAGCTTTTACAGCTTATAACAGCTTTTACACCAGTTTTGAAATATATTAAACAATTATTAAACTTGTGCTCTTTAGCAGTGATTTAAGAAAGCGAATAAACCACCAGTCACATATTCACCGAAGCAGTAAATTAAGATCTGGCGTTTGAATTGACATTTGGCGTATAAATTTTATGCTTGAACTGCTACTAGGGTTTGTAGTCGTTAAAGCATGAAATTTATGCGCCGAACGTGAACTCCAAACGCTAAATCTTAATTTACTGCTTTTGTGAATACCTAACGAGAGTTCATTTGTTTTCTTGAATCATTGACATTATTAAATACCACAAGTTTAAGAATTGTTTAATATATTTCAAAACTGGTGTAAAAGCTGTTATAATAGAGTTGTAAAATCAAAAACTTCATTAGCGGTTTGACGTTTGCCGTATAAAACGTCAAGCTAAAGGTCTCTATTTCGTCAGTGTTAAATAAAATTTTTGGCTCAACTGGCGGGAAAGACAAAATGGCTCACTTGAATAAACGTGGAAGGAGAAAAACGTCGTTTGACTTTCTGGGTACGAAAAATGTTGCAAAAGCGAGAACAACTTGAAGCATACAAGATACAACACACTTGTTCATATGACACATACCAGTAATCAGATAATCTCAGCCTAACAAACAAATTTAAAAACGGGGATAAATGACTTTTGTAAATTTTTATTGTATTTGTATTGTATATTTGTATCGCACTAGCTATTAGGCGACTATAGCTGCGGAATTGTACAGCCTATTCGGTATTTCCGTTTTTAATTTTTTCGTGTAATTCATTCGATGCCATTCCACAACGAATCAATTTTGGCAAAGCTGACTGTAGCCTCCATAGCAGCCTGTCTTTGGGGG